ATTTGATGAATATTTTCCTACTTCTAGTGGTTTAAACACATCACTATACCTGATGGGCAACAAATTGCTGTGAAACATAAAGGGACAATCACTCTTGGTCATAACATTCTTCTTAAGGATGTTTTACATGTCCCTGGCTTCCAATTTAATTTGATTTCTGTTCCTAAACTTTGCAAAGATATGCAATGTGAGGCTTATTTTTCTTGTGATAAATGCTATCTCCAGGGGCCTTCCCTGAGAATGCCACTGCTGCTTGGTAAGCTGGTGGATGGTCTCTACTGCTTGGACCAATCTTTTGTTCCTGCTGTTCCAGACTGCAAGTTTTTTGACTCAACTCTAGCTGTTGCTAATGTAGCTAGTCTGTCTGCTCTAGATTCTGCCAAACTATGGCACTTAAGACTAGGTCATATGTCTTTTGTGCATCTAAATAAGGTTAGACCAGAGGTTAACATAAAACCATATCTTGATGCTTGTACTTGTTAGATTTGTCATTTTTCTAGACAACCTAGATTACCTTTTGGGCATAGTCAAATAAAAACTTCTGGTGTGTTTCAGTTGTTGCACCTAGATGTTTGGGGTCCACATAGAGTAGTTACTCATCATGGTAGTACATACTTCCTTACTATTGTAGATGACTTCTCAAGATTCACTTGGGTTTTTCTTTTAAAGAATAAATCTGATGTTTCTAAAGTTTTCAGAGAATTTTCTACCTTGATTTTCAATCAGTTTAGTTGCACTATCAAATCTGTCAGAACTGATAATGCTCCTGAGCTTTGTGAAGGAGACATGAAACAGTTTTATATTTCCCATGGCATTTCTCATCAGTCTAGCTGCACTGACACACCACAGCAAAATGGTGTTGTTGAACGCAAACACAAACATCTCTTAGAGACTGCTAGAGCTTTGTATTTTCATTCTAAAGTTCCTAAGAAATTCTGGGGTGATAGTGTTCTCACAGCCACACATTTGATAAATCGTATGCCATTACAGTGTCTCAAATTTTCGTCTCCTTTTGAGATTCTTTTTGGTCACACTCCTAAGCTGGATTACCTCAGAGTCTTTGGGTGTTTATGTTACGTTTCTACTTTGAAACAAGGCAGATCAAAGTTTGAACCCAGGTCAGATCCTTGTGTCTTTTTAGGTTATCCTAGCTCTCAAAAAGGTTATAGGGTACTCAATCTAACCACCAATAAAATCACAGTTTCAAGAGATGTTCTATTCTATGAGAAACATTTCCCTTTTCTTTCTAATTCTCTTTCACCATCTCTCATTTCAAAACAAATTTTCTTACCTCTAAACACACCTCTTCCTGATATTTTCTTTGATGATTTTCCACCATCTCAGATCCTACATGACCCACCTCCACATATTCCTTCTTCTCCTACTCCATCTTCTCATTCTCTTTCTCTTCCTTCTATTTCTACACTTCCTGTCATTTCAGAACCTGATTCTGGTTCTGCTTCTGTCAGAAAATCTGATAGAGTCAGATATCCTCCCAAACATCACAAAGATTACATACTCACTGCTCCTAAGAGACATTGGTGCAACATGGTTCTGTTCAGTTCTCTTCCTGCTCCTCACTTGGCTTTCATAGCAGCTCTTGATGATATGATTGAACCTTCTTCTTATGCTGAAGCTTCACAGAGCAATGACTGGATTTTGGCTATGCAAAAGGAGCTTGCAGCCTTAGATTCCAATCACACTTGGGATTTAGTTGACTTACCTAAGGATAAAAAATCCATTGGTTGCAAATGGGTGTTCAAAATCAAGCTTAAAGCTGATGGTAGTATTGAGAGGTACAAGGCTCATCTTGTTGCTAAGGGTTACACACAGAAGTTTGGAATTGATTACTCAGAGACTTTCTCTCCGGTGATTAAAATGGCAACCATCAGATGCATTATTGCTCTTGCTGCTTTTCATGGTTGGAATCTTTTTCAACTCGATGTCAATAATGCGTTTTTGCATGGAACTCTTGATGAGGTGGTGTACATGAAAGTACCTGAGGGTGTTCCTAATCCTGCTGGTAAAGTTTGCTTGCTCAGAAAATCTTTGTATGGTCTTAAGCAAGCTTCTCGTCAGTGGTTTGCTAAGCTTCTTACTGAACTTAAGTTCCTTGGTTATTGTCAGTCTCAATGGGATAACAGCCTTTTCATCAAAAAATCTGGTATTCACACCACTTTGGTTGCTGTTTATGTCGATGATATTATTGTTACAGGGAGTGATTTGGGTGCCATTGATTATTTGAAGATTCATTTACACCAAACTTTCACTATCAAGGACTTAGGAAAGTTAAACTACTTCCTTGGCTTGGAAGTTAGTTATTTGGATTCTGGTATCTCTCTTACTCAGAAGAAGTTTACCAAAGAATTAATTGAAGCTTCTGGTATTTTTGACTTCAAGAAAGCTGTCACTCCTTTACCTATTCATTTGAAGCTTTCAGCAGATGATGGTGTTCTATTATCTGATCCTGAGTACTACAGAAGAATGGTGGGAAAGCTTAATTTTTTTACCAACACCAGGCCTGATTTGGCTTACAGTGTTCAGACTCTGAGTCAGTTTCTTCAGGCACCCAGAACTTCACATTTACATGCTCTGACTCATACATTGCATTATGTTGCTGCAACTGCAGGCAAAGGCATTTTGCTTAATGGTACTGCTACCCCAGTTCTACAGGCATACTCTGATTCTGACTGGGGGTCTTGCCCTGACAGTAGACGATTCATTACTGGTTGGGTTGTCATGCTTGGTAGCTCTCCAATTTCTTGGAAATCCAAGAAACAAAGTACTGTCTCTAAGTCTTCAAGTGAAGCTGAATATCGTGCAATGGCTGCTGCATCAAGTGAGAACACTTGGTTGGTACATTTACTTGAAGAACTTGATGTTGATCATTTAAGACATGTTATTTTGCACTGTGACAATCAGAGTGCAATCCATATTGCTAGGAATCATGTGTTCCATGAACGGACTAAGCATATCGAAATTGATTTCCACTTCACTCGTGACAAGGTCCTTGAGGGGTTATTACAGTTGACTTATGTCCCAACTTCAGCTCAGCTGGCTGATGTCTTCACTAAGGTTCTGCCTTCTGCTCAACAGGACCTTTTGCTGTCCAAACTTGGCATGATTTCACCATTTCCAAGTTTGCGGGGGGATGTTGAATATAGTGCTAGCAACTCAGATTCTAGAAGCAAGCTCGTTCCAGAAACTTCCTCCAAAAGATCAGTGTACTAGCTGGCAGGTTGTTACAACAACCTGAATTCTATTATGATGTAATAATTAGAGCTAAGATATTATGTTCTAAATATCTATGCTATAAATACTTGTATTCTTCCCATTAATCATTATTCAGAAATAAGATCAAAAATTCCCAAAATTCTCTCTCCCTTTGTTCTTCATTTTTCTCTGCTTAGTTCCTCATTTTCTCTGTTTGTAACAGTTTTCGTGGTGGTGGTTGCCATGGGGGTGAAAGATGAGCGATAAAGGTTGAAATAAATCTAGAATAATTAAAGGTGGAATTGTTTTCAAAAAATCATACATAGGTGGGATTAAACTTTTCCATTTTTCCAAAAAAAATGTATCGTGTTACTTGTGGTACTGTTGTATGATCGTATCCTACCTAGATCCTAATCAAATTGTATAATTATTACCGGAGAAAATCCAAGTTTATAACTGTGCTAAACAAACCAAGTTTAGCACATGGAAATTTTGTAATTAAATGGGCTTGAAAACTGTGTACAGGCATTAAACAAATACTTTCCTTTACTGTAGCACCTGACAAATGACCTGTCCTAATACAAACAAGCTAACGGCAAGTTTGTTTGAAACATTAGGAGTGACCACGGTAAAAGCTCACTGCTAACCACGGTAATTACACTTGAGTTAAGCTTTTACCACTCCTTGAATTGAATGTCATGGAGAGAGAAAAAGAAAGTCATTTCTCATCAGCAGTACATAGAGAGAGAATCAGAAAAGGCCATGAGCCAAACACAGAACAAACAAGCAAACGAAAATGGTGAATACCAATAGGAGGGGGGAAATCAAACAAGCAAACGATAACATCTTCCCTTTAGGGTTAACCATACCTTTAATTTCTATATTTTTACTTTGGGTTTTCGTTGGATTTGGCGGCGAAGCCGCCGAAAATGGTGTTAAGGTTTGGTGTCCATCATTAATGGAGCTCAAAGAAGAAGATGATAGTTAAATTAAATCGCAAAAATGTTCCAATTGAACGCCTACCTTATGAACACCGGAGAATTGAACCTAGAAGAAAATCGATCTGAATTCAAGGTCGACGAAACGGCATCACCCAAGCATTCAAGTTCTGGCTCGAAGGAAGAACCAAAAAAAGAATGGGGAGTGAAGAACAACCAGTCAAGTTGAAGAAGAAGAAGAAGCATCAGACAACTTTGTGTAGGAGTGACAACAACTAACCAGGGTTAAGGAGTAGAAGAAAACGACAACTTAACAGTAGTTATCTCTCAAATTGGGGATTGACATTTTCACCCTTACTTTTTGAGACGAAAAGACAAAAATGACATGTGCTAAACAGGTCAGGTTTAGCACAGTTATTAACCTGGGTTGGCTCTTATTGCTGGACCCAATTTTGCAATGGGTACAATAAATTTATAATTGGATCACTACGATCATCATATATTGAGAGCTAGAAAAAAAGTTGTATATTGCTTTTTCTGTTTCTATTTATTGATTACATTTAAAATCTTATTGTTAGAATAAAATGGTCAAAATAGCCCACAAAAAGGAACAAAGTGAATAGCATATTTCATTAATTAGAAGGTGTGACAAGGTAACTGCCTTTATTTTCCAGGCCCAACTACGGGCATAGTGATACCTCTCGTTAACTAGTAAAAAGAGGTGTGACATAAGAGAAGTAGCATTGCTTGGCTAATGCAATGGCCTCCATAGTTACATTATAGTCTATACCTTAAGCATATGAAAACCCGAACACCGGCCCTATCAAACTCAGGTAACTTAAACATTGGCTACATTATGATAGGATCGATAAGAACAGCTATAACTTTTGATTTCATGTACTTGGGATGAGTGTAGCCATCTTCACCTAAATTTAAGAAATCTTGTAAGACCCTTGAAAGGTTAATTAGTTGATTTATAAGAGGTTTTGGAACGGTAATTGGTCCAAGAAGCTCTTCGTTTATGTCCTTCCACGACTCCTCAATACGCACCTGAATCTCCTTGTAGGTTTCTTCCTCGGAGGTACCAAATTGTTTCATAAAACATTCTACAGTGGAGGCAACATGTTCTCTTTCTTGCTCAAACTACAAAAGTTCAATAAATAATATGAGAATAAATGTAAAATTAGTATTACTATCATCTTAATGATGATAATAAATTGAATACTAGTTTCATTATTAATTGATTAAAGGCACACACCTTATGGCCAGCAATGTCATCCAAGAGCCTAGTAAGTATGCATGAGGCTCTAGGAGCCTTAGAATTTTCATTACTGATCCATTCATAAGCATCCTTAGGCACAATCTTTCCCAAGCCGAGAAAATGTATACAACTGATGTACGAGTAACCTGAGCTAACAATGCCATTCTTAAAGCTGTCATCATATGTTGGAATAATTTTTTTAAAACGCCATTTTGCTTCTTGTAGGTAACCTTGGCATGTCGCTGTCAGCTAGAAAATAATTTAGATGAAGTTCGAAACTACATTACACATTGGTTGGCTACATTACTTTGTAGCTTGCCTCATCAAATATTTGTTAATTTTTTTTATATGTTTAATATTTTAGTCTACAAATAATACTACAAAAAAGAAAAAAAAAATATGACTAATAAAAATTAAAATGTTTGTTTTAAAAAAATGTTTAAAAAGATGATGATAAAGATAGACCCCCAAGAAAATGAAATACATCATACATACATATCATGATATCAAGTACTATATATTTCTATTGGAAAAAAAAAAGTACTGTATAATTTTGCATGCCAAGCTATTTCACACATAGTAGTATTTCAATTGGTGGAAATTGATTTGCATTATATTAAAAAAAAAAAAGTGTATTTGCTTTAAACTTTCAAGCAGTGTTGCTTGATTGAGCAGTGTTGTTCTCAAAGCAAGGCTGCCAATGTTGTTCCAATGGTCAACTTTCTGTTTTTATACTTTTTAAATTTGCAAGCAAGTCCTTTTAATAAACCATAGGAGATGCTTTGATAAATAAATTTGTTCTTAGTTTTAATTATTAAAAAAATCTTAAAATACAATTCAGACAATATACGAAGTATTAATTAGAACAAAAAAATCCTTGCTAAAAATGAACATCTAATAATACAAAAATGAGCATTTATCAATACAGAAATGAACATAAAAATTTACAAGAATGAAATTCATAAATGGAAAGGGAGGACGGGACACACGTGGAGGGTGTGTGTGTGTGTGGGGGGGGGGGGGTTGCAGGAATGTTCCCTACCCCGAGCTGTAGGTAAAAATTAGTATAAATATTAGAGTTAATCTTGAGTTGTATTTGGGCCGGGTTAGTTAGAGCTTGAGTGAACTCTAAGTTAGAAGAGCTTTGAGTACAGTGAAGCAGTAAAAGAGAGAGAGAGAGCTAGAGAGAAAAACTGGTTGAGGGATCAGTTGCTTGGGATAAACAAGTTCATTGAGGAACTTGAGGTTGAATCTTAGTTTGTAATAGGTTTGCCCTTTTATGTTAAGAGTTTTGTTTTAAAAGCCCTAGTTGTCGTGGTTTTTTTTCTTGCTTAGAGCCAAGAAGTTTTCCACGCTAAATTCTATCTTGTTTCTTTGAGTTCTTTAAGCTTTATTTATAAATTCCCCAAAAATTATACCATAGTTCCCATACAATACAATTCAACCCCCTCCCCCTTGTATTGTTCATTCGGGTCAACAAGCTACAAAATTAATTTGGTCTAGAAAATTTTTCAATCGAGCTCTACCCTTTGAGGGGGTTTTTTTTAGGAATGAAGTTTAGGGTTTGAATGAATATATCATACCCATACCTATTGTTTAATTTGTTTAAGAAAAATATAATTTGTAAACTCATACCTCAAATCCACAAGGTATGGCGGGTATGACTCATACCATGCCTCTAGGTATCAATTAAAATGTACATTTTGAGGCAAGGAGTGAAGGGTGGTGAGTTGGTGACTAACTAATTTCAATGAGTCACTGTTAGAAAATAATACTACTAAGCAAATACAAATGAAAGAAATCAATTGAAACTAGAAAAGGACGAGATTATCTATGTCCTTAGGATAATATTAGCCCCCACTATAATTGGGATTAAGGAACTAATTTACCCCCAGGATCCATCCTAATCTCAATGAATGTAGTTTTTGTTTTTCTGGAAGTTTTTGTTAAGGGAAGAAGAAGAAAACAGAATTTGATCAATAGAACGTTCTCTGCCTCTTTGGAACTTATAAATAATAGTTCCCTTAAGATATCTGTCAATTGATATTATCCAAAATAAAATAAAATAATAATAGTAAAAATATAATAATAAAAATAATAATAATAATTTGTACAAACTTATCTTCTTCTTTCCTTGGCAGTGGTACTGTCCACTCACAAACTTCACCATTGAAGACTATATTTAACGGTCACAAGAGCAACTGATGAGAATCGATCCCTATTTCTTATGAAATCTGAAGGTAAGCTCTAACCACTTGAAATATCCCTCATTCTTTCAATTAATAATACTTCGAAACGCTTATAGATTATTTTCAAACATGAGTCATAAAATAGAGTGTGTTACAACTTACAAGCCTTTACAAGCTACGATACATAAGTAGATGTTTAGAGGTTCATTTATTAACAGCCCCAATACAAAGAGAATACACATCAAATTTTCCCACCATCTTCAATGTCTCGATACTATTATCTCGTTGCAACAGTTGTCTTTCTCTCTTCTCTATTGATCTTTGGTTTCCACTCTTCAAGACCGAGGAACTACGAAATCCATCTCTTTTCAACAATGCGGAGTACCAATGTGCAGACAATTTAGGGTACCTTCTCAAATCAGGATCATCTAAATCTACGTAATAGAGGCCAAATTCATAACCTCCCGGACATTCAATTACATCCAAGAATGACCATTGGAAGAAACCCTTGACGTTTGATCCATTCCTTTAACATCAAAGATATATAATAAGTTTAACATTACTCCTAATAGCCTTTGTAACTTTACACAAATATATTGAAATTCGCGAGACCACATTATATTTTTGTTAGTTTCATAAATATTGTAATACTACCTCCGTTAAATGTTATGTGCAGCTTTGGGGTATTATTTGTGAGATATAAAATATTCCAAAATTGCACATAATATTTAACGGAGTTAGTATTTGCATTTTTACAATACTCAGTATATTAATCAACAGAATCCCCATGCATCGACCATACATTACAATTTATATACGTAGTACAAGTTAAAAATGAAAATATGTTACATTGAATTTGAATCTAATTTCGTGTATACTTCAAATATATCAACAGCCAAACAATTTAATTTTTTTTACTTTTTCTGTTTTAAACAATTAAAGGTTACTATAGTTAAAATAGTGTAATAATAAGCATGAAACTCTATATGTTAGAATATTTACTGTACAATAATTGCATTGTCATGTGATATACCATTGTATTCATCTAATTGTCAATATTAATAATATCAACTTTTTAATTTATAATGTGTTCTACAGGATCAATCGTATTATTGATAGACAAAAAATTGTTATGTGTTCTACATGATCAATCATATTGATAGACAAAAAATTGTTTTTATAACCCACGCAAATGGAAATAGACACTAAGTTTTAGGACAATGTGTAGAAATATGAAGTATAATACTACGTATGTCCGTACCTTGCTGCATCAAGAAGACTTCTTAAAGAAGTGCTTAGAAAGTCAACTCTTGATGTGTCATCCAATGATGAAGTACGGGTTGTACGTACACCTAATCAATTGTTCATGATACCAAAAGTTAATCACAAATAATACACAAGATCATGAACTTTAATTTATGAACAAACAAGATAATGAACTTAAAGATGAAATATAATATAGAACCTTTTAAACAAATTTTTATACATTAATCGATTAGTTAAAACTTACCCTAAAATGATTAAAAATAAAATAATAAATTGATTATTACTCAATATAAATAAAATTAGCTATTTATTTATTGATAAAGTTGTCTATTGTCTTTAAGAGTAATATTTAAATCCCAATGTGTGAAGTTGATCATATTATTATTCGTATCTTAATAATCTTATTAAAACTTATCTTATACATGCATGAATTATACAACAATAAAATCATATTAAGTAGATTATAAGTTATGTTACTGTGTCTTAATGTACTCAAAATAATGTTTCAAATGTTTTTATATAAGTAAAGAAACACGTACCATTTTCATGAATATAAATTGGAGGATTTCCATAAACTTGTTTGAAATATTCCAGTACTCCTTGCACATACTAAATGCAACAATAACATATGTCTAAAAAAAATCAATAAATAAATAATAAAATTATATGAAAATATCATTGCCTGGATTCTCAATATCTCACCCCATTTCTTCCAAGGACTCCAACATCTGTAGCTGTAAGAAGTAAAATATTGTTAGTGATATGCAGAAATATGCATAGGCAGCATAGCCACTTTTTAAAAAAAGTTACCCAACCCTCTATATTTATCTATATACTACCTCCGTTACAGGTTATGTGCAACGATTGAACATTTTCCCCTCTACTTTATGTCAAATCGTTGCACATAACATGTAACGGATGTAGTATGTCACATCTGGAATTTTGAGAGATTGGTTTTTGGCAATTGGCAAATGGAATCTAACAATAACGAGTTTTAGTACTTTAAAATACAGTTATGTGAATCTTGTTAATTTGAAATATTTAAAGAAAATAGGACAGAAAAAAAAAAAAAAAAAAAAAAAAAAAAAAAAAAAACCTAATATACATTTTTTTTCCTTCTTCTACGAGTAATAATAGTTTTGTACTTTTGTTCTACTAGTATTGCCAACTAATATATATATATATATATATATATATATATATATATATATATATATATATATATATATATATATATATATAGGTTTAATTTATTTATTATTGTAAATATTGTATGACTTTGTTATTGAATTAATTAATGTTTAAATAGTGCGTTGAGATAGATGATCATAATGAGCTTTTATATTATAACATGAGTCCGCATATTAAAGGTAACACATACTTGGACATTTAGCTGCCAAATCGAGTACGGTTGGATCGTCTTTAACTGTTTGAGCAGTGTAAGTGTTTAATCCAATGAAGTCGAATGAGCCTTTAACTAGGTTGCTTTATTGCTTGGTAAAAGATGGAAGTCGCCTTCCTAGGATTTTCTTCATAATGTATGGATAATCTCCATACACTAAGGGATGGATAAACCTGATAAAAATATGCATAGTAAATTAGTAAAATATTAATTATATGCTAAGGGTCTGTTCACTTCAGCTTCATTTCAGCTCAATTCAACTCCAATCAGTTAAGTTAAGTTAAGTTCAGCTCCAATCAGTTAAGTTCAGCTCTTAAATTCCTTCTCTCATAAATATTCATTTCAGCACAGTTCAGTTCAGTTCAGCTCCAACCAGTTCAATTCAATTCAGTTCAGCTTCAATCAGTTCCGTTCAGTTCTGTTCTGTTTAGTTCAGTTTAGCTCAGTTCAGTAATATAAATATGAACATTACAAGCCCTAAGTCTAAGTAACCTAACACTTGCATAAGTTGGGGTACAATGTTTGCTAAATAAAGGTTTTATCAAATACTTCCTCCTATTTTAATTACTTGTAACACAGCCTTGTGACACATGAAATGAGATCGAGATTATACGTGTAAACATATAAATTAATTCAATTTTTTTATGGTTAATAGTGCCTAACCCTTCCCTAATAATCGTGGCGTTAAAATTATTGTAATTAAATAATTCGTTTATCTTCACTAATCACCTTGTAAAACTATGTGTCTAAAAGTTGTATCCTAAGTAAAAGAAAACGGAGAGTGTGTACATAATTATATTCAAATTTCAGGATTGTTGTAGCATTGTAGGCCTGTCAATTTAATTTTTAAACAATATATATAAGCTACTATACAACGATCTGGTGGTCATCTTTTTTTTTTTTTTTTTTTTTTGCATATATGGTGGTCATCCTTAAAATGACTATCATTATGTTAATTTTGAAATAATTTTTGAATTTTTTTAAAAAATGATCCTATATAATTTTCAAAATTCTATTTTTATTATTACTGAAATTAAAAAAAAATCATAAATTAATTATAGAAATATAAAAAAAAAAAATTAATATGAATTAGCATTATAATTAATTTTGACTGAAAAACTAAATAAAAAATCAGACAATAATATTTTAGTATAATAGTAGTCATTTTAAGGATGTTTGCCATAAAATTTACATATAATTAAGGTCCGAATGAGAATTTCCCTGATAACTAATTGATTGAACACTTACCATCCAGAAGCGAATTGATGAACTCTTTCAACTGCATCCAAATCTTCTTTAGTATTTCTTAGAGGAATATACCAACTTGTACAAATAGTCAAACCGATAGATCCATGTTGTCTCACCTATGAATTAAACCATTTATTTTTGTAAACAATTTTATCTTCATAATTAATACAAATAAAATTTAATACTACATCCGTTTACAGTTATTTGCAACATTTACTAAAAATGGGCGCTATCTATTATTTGCAACAAACTTATTTCTTTCCTATTTTAGTAACTTTTTTCTATCTAAATGACCAGAATATCCTTATTTAAAACTTATTAGCACATAATACTACACTTAATTAACAAAACATTATAACCTTAATCTAAATTGATTATCTTTCTCTCTCCTCCTTCATCTCTCGTATCATCTTTCTCTATTTCATCTTTTTCAACTCTCATCTCTCTTCAAATTCCCAACTATCTTACTTGTTGGTTTCAGATCTAATTATTTGTCGGTGGTTTGCTTGATTTGTGGTTGGATTTGGTGGCTTATGGGTGGATTTGCAAGTTTGTTGGGGTCGTTTGTGGGTGGGTTTGGTTGGATTTCGGTGGTTTTAGTGGTGGTTGGGTTTCGGTAGTTTAGCCTGGGTTTGTGGTGGGTTTTCGGTGGTTGTTGGGTTTGTGGTGGGTTTTCGGTGGTATTGGTTGGGTTTGTGGTGGGATTTCGGTGGTTTTGGTGGTAGTTGGGTTTGTAGTGGGGTTTCGGTGGTATTGGCTGGTTTGTGGTGGGATTTCGGTGGTTTTGGTATTGGCCGAACCACCACCTCACGCGCCGCCATCATCGACACGCGCCCCACCGCCGTGTAGCTGGACTCAGGCCGGAGCTAGGGAGCCGGCGCGTGGCACCCAGATCGGCGCGTCGCCGCCGCTGCCGTCGTCGGAACCCAACTGGACCTTGACTTCTTCTTCAATGGCTGCGCATGTTAACCATTCTTGATTCTTTACTCCAAGCTCAAACCCTATTGGCCTTAAAACCAATATGATTGGCTCTTCAAAAGAATTTCCCTCTTGATCCACATCAGGTGGTTTTGGGTTCGTGGGTAAGGTTTCGGTGGTTTTGGGTGGGTTCGTGGTTGGATTTTGGACTTTCGGTGGTTTGGAGTGGGTTTGTGGTGGGGTTTCGGTGGTTTTGTTGTTGGGTTTCGGTGGTGGTTTCGGGTTCTGGATGTCAGTGGGTTTGGTTGTTCTGGTGGTTGTCGGTGGGTTTGGTGGTTCTGGTGGTTGCCGGTGGTGGTTTTGGGTTCTGGGTGTCGGTGGGTGTGGTGGTTCTGGTGGTTGTCGGTGGTGGTTTTGTTTAATTGTTTTTCTAGGTAGGATTAATACTTAACCAAGTGTCCTTACTTTTCAATAATCATACTTTAAAAGTTTTGCCTAGGAGTCCGCGCATGACCCTTTGTTGCAAATAACCGTTAATGGAGGTAGTACTTCATGTTATTGTACATACCTCGTACTTCTGTTTATATAGATTTACTACTGATGCATGCCCTAGTATAAAGTTGTGAGCTTCAATAAAAGGAGATAGAGAAAAGAATGAAGCACAACAATTCGGCTCATTGATTGTGATCCAATGTAAAACTCTATCCCCGAATTCTTGGAAACATATATTTGCGTAGTATGTGAAGTCTTCACTGTAAATCAGTGAGATCGAATACATAAGAAACGTATTGAATTAGAATGAACTCAAGAAGATATGAGATTAACTTTTTTTACGTACATCATTTGCTTATTCATCCATCCTCCATATGCATCTTGAAGATATTGTGGATGATCATTATGTAACAATGTTACATGGGGCTGAATTCCTGAGAAAGGAACACGAGAAATGATAGATTTTAGGTCGGAATGTTATTATTATTGTTTTAATACAATTATTATTAACGACTTACCATTTTGGATTAGTTCATTGATCAGATTATTGTAATATTCCACAACTTTTGGATTGACATAACCAGTTCCATCTACAAAATGTAGGAAAAATATTGAAATACATGAGCAAATCTATCTATCTATATCTATCTATACTTAGTATTTAAAAACACAAACCATCATCCTCATCATGCCACATGTAACTTTATTTTTCACCAATGTCACATATCACCTCTCTTCATTAATTAATCCATTTTCTTATTTTTAAAAAAAGAACTAGCTTTAATTCAATACATGTATGAATGTCATTTGATTCATTTTCCTCAACTTAATATCTTCTACGTACAATTACATTCAATTTTCACTCTTTCTTCTCCTTTATAAAGTCTTCATTTTGCAATTAAAATATATTATAAAATAATATTGTACACCTATAACATCCCGTGCATTGCAAGGGTTAGAAGGCTATTAAATATATAGTAATGGACACCCTATGTCCCTTAAAATAAATTTATTTTTTTATACCACATGTAAACTTTATTTTTTACCAATGCCGCATGTCACCACCCATCATTAATTATGTATGAATGTTATTTGATTCACTTTCCCCCAAATTACTATCTTCTATAATTCTGTCAAAAAAAAAAATACTACCTCCGTTACACATTATTTATTGCAACGATTTGACTTAAAGTAGAGAGGGAAAATGTCTAATCGTTGCAAATAATATGTAACGGAGGTATTATATATCTTCTATAATTACATTCAATTTTTTTTAATCCCTTCTTCTCCTTTTTAAACTATTCATTTTCCAATCAAAACATATTATAAAATAAAAATTTATATTGTACACCTATAAACATATCGTGCATTACACGGACCAGAAAACTAGTTAAATATAGTAATGGACACCCTCTATCCCTTAATTTAAATTTATCCAATTCACACTTCTAATGACAACATTTATTACCAAAGAAATATGGAGTATACATGTGAAAGTTATGAAAGAGTATATTTCTTGATTTTTGATATAAAATAATATCATCAACATTTTTTTAATTTATCCAAATTTTAGTTTCATTTATGTAAATTTAATCCCCCCCCACCCCTCTCAAAAAAATGTAAATTCAATTTTTATTTTATAATGTCTCAAAAAAAAAATTATATTATTGAGCTAAAATTTTCAAAAATAATATTTGCATTGTAGATATTAATAGACTAAGGGCTTGTTTCAATTTAATTGGGGCAAAACTAAGCTGAACTGAATTGAACTGAATAGGGTTTAAATGAATTGTTTATGAGAGAAGGAAATTAGGAACTGAACTAATAGGAGCCGAACTAAACTAAAATTAAGATGAACAGAACAAACCCTAATTGTGTCCATATTATAATGTAAAAAAGTAAACCGATTATATTATCATTCAAATACAATAATAGTCATATTTTAAAGGGCCACTATAAAAACATCCAATAACATTAGGGTTTGTCTTCAAAAATTTTTATTTTTTTTTAAGGACAGAAAATGCATGAATTTGCTGGGGCAAGAGAAGGTGAAGAAGGAAAATACATTTATCAAGTCAGGAATAAAACATAAGTAGATAGAGATAGACAGAAAATGAAAGTGAAAACAACTAATAATAATATTTTTTAAAAAATTATAAAAAAAAAAAAAAAATTGGAAATGGTACTTGGGATTAATCTTGACCAAGAGATGGAGAATCTATAAGCATCTAACCCTGTATCTACCATCAACTTGACATCATCCTGCAAGAATTATTGACAATAAGCGACATATCAAATTAATTTGTTCCTACCTAAAATATACTACTGTACAATTTTACAAGCCATTAAAAAAAAACCATCAAAGTAAATTTTTTTAAAAAAATTATAAATAAAAAGGAAAATTTGATAAAAATAATCTCAACTATCACCCGTTCGCTTAAAATAATCCCAACTTTGGATTATTTTTAAATAATCCGCATTTTAGGGGTCATTCGCTCAAAATAGTCCCAACCGATTCACCTAACTTGTTAAGGCTGTTATAGCAGGTTTAGGTGACACGTGTCACCATGTGATTGGTTGCAAAATTAAAAAAAATAAGAAAAACCTTTTAAAAACTATAAATAAATAAATAAAAATCAGCTAATTTTTGAAATCTAGTGATTCATTTTGAAATAATTTTTGAATTGTTTTAATAATTTTCCTAATTAGTTTTTAAAATTCTGTTTTTATTATTATTAAAATTAAAAAATAATTTATAAATTAATTTAAAAAATATAAAAAATAAATTTAAAATATGAATTAACATTTTTAATTAATTTTGATATAAACACTAAATAAAAAAATTAGCCAATAAAAAATTAATATTAGTCATTTTAAGGATGATTATCATAAAATTTTCAAAAATTGTAACCTTATATTTGTGATACTGATCACACGATACATTGTTGACATCTTTACCAAAAACACCTACAAGAATATAAATTCACCAGGTTAAATATATATACAAATTAAACATATATGTGGAATATGTATACCTCAGAAGAAAAAACGCATTTTGAAATGTGCAAATTGTAGTGCAAATTTGTTGCCAATCACAACCTTGGGAACAAATTGTAGATTTTGCTGATAGTTTAGTATCTTGTGATATGAAAATAAACATCGGTACACTCTTATACTATTGCACCTCACCACCACCACAACCAGGGGCGGACTTATGAAGGCACAGGGGCCAGGGGGTGGCACATGTTATCCTTGGGAAAAAAATATATATATATTTGCTCAAATAACAAATTAAAGGGTGCTATTTTTCATGTTAAAATATAAGAGACCTTTTACGTATATAATACAACCAGGTATCTTAGGTTCTTAGATTTACTTTTTTTTTTTTCTGAAACAAATTACTTTAACTTGTATTTGTACATAATTTTTTTTTTCTTTGAAAGACTCATTTAAGTATAAAAAAAAAAAATGAAAGTATTAACTAACTTATTATTCATTATTCTTAAATACTCCTTAATATATTTATTTTTAGTTTTATATGAGTAAAGCAATAACTTTATTTATATCAAATAAAATAATTTTATAGTATACTTTGTATGTACTTCTCCTATTAAACATATGGAATACTTTTTAGTTTGATCATACTAATAACTAAAATATAAAATATTCTACCTTTAATTTGTAAATTGAAAATTTATCTACCAAAAAGAATTTTTTAAGTTAAAAGCTAATTGTTAAACAATATATATAGTATAGAACTTTTTTCTATTTTTTTTCCTTATTATTCTATGCTACCGTGGTTAGAAATCCTGGATCCTCCGTTGACTACAACTAACTTATTTTGTCACGCGCGCCCCTCATTTCTACCTTCCACAGTTCATGTTGTCAAGCCTTTCGTTCTTCTTTGTTACCCCATGCTATATATATTGTGCCTACGCTGCACCCTCTAACTTAGCCCACATGAGGCCACAACATTATCATATTCCAACTCCGATCCAAGTCTCTCATGCTAGCGCCAATGGATGCGTGGGCGACTAAGATATACTGGTGAATGGTGACAAAAGGTCATATGGGGCACCCGTGGACTTCCTAGGGTATGTATCCGGTATCCTTCATCGTATAGAGATATAGAAGTCATATGGGGCACCCATGGACTTCCTAGGGTATGGATTTCATATAGCACCCATTTGATTTTAGGTTCGCGTAATGGGTGCTCAAGACCTAAACAGGCTACAAATGGACTGAAACAAACTTTGATGTGCTCACCCTACAATCCTACATTTTAGGGCAATGAAGACAATGGTCTACCATTAATTCTACCCAATTATACAAGATGAGATGGTACATGGCCTTTTGTGGTGCTATTTAGAAGAGATGTACAAAATTTGGTTCCAGCACTCAAATTAGCAAGGACGCCTATATATGTAGGATTCTTGCCCCATTTGTACTTTCATCTTAACATTATTGTAAACTTTCTCAAAAGCAATCTTTTAAAAACATCGTTACTCTTGTGCATCATGTATGAGCGTAGGAAAACATTGTTACCATTAATGTATTGTTTATCTTGGGGTATAATCATCTTTTCAAGTATCAGTGAAGGGGTACATGCGTCTTTTCATTTACTAGTTGAGGGGTACATGTGTCTTTTTATATACTAGTTGAGGAGTACATGTGTGATTTCCTCACCAAACAGTAAATGCAAATTGCAAACAGTAATTGACATCTCACCAAATTACTGAATAAGTGACCACGTTTTTTTCAATATATATACAAAAATGTCACCAGATTAACAAAAATTCATTTATCTGGTAGATAAACTTGTATTTGCTGCTTTAATTTTAATTGAAACATTTTGTCACACTTTTGCATTGTATGTCGATCACCTCTTTTGCTTCTCGTATCTTCTAAGGTCCACCCTTCTACCGCAAGCAGTATGGGATTGTGATGATATAATAGGATTAATTAATTATGTGATGAATCGTATTTATTAATTTAATCAAATTTCTAGTTATTGGTTTATAATATTTCCTCCATTTTCCTAAGTGTTATTAGCTTTCCGTTTTTATCCATTTTTTTATAAGTTGTACTCACTTTTAATTTTTTTTTTTTTTTAATAACTTCCTATTTATTTTTTATAACCTACAACCCAACTTTATTGATCCAATTTTATTTAATATGAGTCTGACACCTGCCCGGTGCTGGAAGGTTGGCATCAATTACCCTCTATATCTCTCCTCTTTAAAGCAAAAGTACCTACAAATCGCTTAGGAGTTGAGGGGAGTGTATGGTAAGGGAATCTCTACCCTCAACTCACTTGGTAGGATACAAACTCGGGCAAGAAACTTACCATATATGTCAAGTGAACAACCGCTTTGTTGGTAAATGTATAATGCTGTAATGCATCATGTAAAAAATATCTGAGTTTGGGGACTCCCTTGTCTAGCATACATGTATACCGAAATTAAAATTACCTTTTTGGATATAGGTATCCATTATACTCGGAGACTTTCCATCCTCGAAAGCCGCACCCTCCACCTACGTACACATGCAATACAAAGTAACACTGGACTTGTAAGCATACCTTTCAATTCCTGACCCGACCTATAACTCGACCATACCTGAATTACTAAGAGAACATGAACCGACCTGACCCAAATGACTTGAAATTGACCCGATTTGACCCATGTATCATATTTTATAATGACTCAAACAACTCAACCGGTCAACCCAAACAGACAAATAACCATATTGTAAATGAAAGAGCAATAATAACATCTTACTTGGTGGGAAGAGGTGCCAGATCCAAAAATAAAATTGGAAGGAAAATCATCTCTGGTATAATCCAATGCTACAATAAAAGAATGTTGCAACAAAACTTGTAGTAATACGAATATACTTGTTAACACAATCAAAGATGATTGAGGAGAGATTTTACTCAATTTCATAATTAGAGTTTGAAAAATGCAAGTTAAATTTGTCATACAAATAGTGATACAATTTATATACTAAGCACGTCTTTGTTAATTTGTCATACAAGTAGTGATACAATTTATATACTAAGCACGTCTATGTTATAAGAAAAGGTGTAATTAAAATGATTCGAATCCACTAATATTTAGTGGACTTTTCTTATGTGACAATTCATAATTTTATGTATGAAACGTATTTTTTGCAATAAACATATGAAAGCCTGAAAAGCACATATATTATTTATTTATTTTATATAAATTAAATAATTAATTTTAGGAATTTTTTTTTAATGCGATAAGATTTAGATCATTGGCTAATTCTTTTTTTGCTATAGGAAAATGAAGGCCTGTAACAGTCATATATGATTTTCTTTTAACATTTGTATGTTTAACATTGGCTTATTTATTTATTTTATTTTTGCTCTAAAAATATGAAGGTCTAAAACACACATATATTATATATATTTTGTTTAAGAAAATTTCAATATTAGGTAGTTGACGGTTTTTAGTTGTGGGAGATAGGTAGGAGAGGGATACAAATATAGTAATACGACAACCATACCAGGCTGTTTTGCGTTACATTAAATCGAATTAATTTACATAGTAATCTATTTTATATACTCTCTGATTTTTATATTATTATTGTGTTTCTTGATCATGACAATCAAATCTAATGATAAGATAGAATAACAAAAAGTTTGTTTGTTTATCTACCACTTATAAGACTTTGGGCCTGTTCGACGGTAGCTTTTGAGGTAGCTGTTAGCTTTTGAACTTAATCCAAACACTACCTATAAAAATTATTATACTAGTAGAAAAATAGCATTAGGCACCTCCAATATGGCACCGATTCAGGCCAAACCGGTGCCAAAAATCGGCCCAAAATTGGGCGGGTTTTTAAACAAAGGAAAAAGGCACCGGTTCAACTCAAACCGGTGCCAAAAATTAAATAGGCACCGGTTTGAACCGGTGCCAATTAAACCGGGTCTTTTTCAAACCTTAAAAAACGCGGCCTTCCTACTTCCTTTCTTCTCCTTCCTCTCTTTCTCTTTCAATTCATTCCTTTCTAACCCTTCTTTCATTAGAGACGAATTGAAGAACAACGAACCTCCCCTTTTCCCCTCCACCACAGCCGCCACCTTCACCGGCCACCGGCCTCCAGCCACCAGCATTGTTCGAATTGAAACACCGCCCTCAATTCTCCCCTGCCCTTGTACGAATTGTCGAATTGAAACACCGCCCTTGTACGAATTGAAACACCACCAGCATTGGACGAATTGTCGAAAACCACCGCCCTTAATTATCCCCTGCCCTTGTCTTTTCCCTCCCCTGCCCTTCTCTGTCTTTCACCGACCTCCAGCCACCAGCATTGTTCGAATTGAAACAGCAGCGCACCACCTCCACCTCCGCGTTGTTCCCTCCACCAGCGCGCACCGCCTCCACCTCCGCGCTGCCTCCACTAGTGCGCATCACCGCTGCTACCTCCACCAACGCGAGGGTCGTCCTCAATCTCTCATCCCCTTAGCTTCTTCCACCTCCAACTAATTTAGGGTAAGTGTTTATTTTTTTGTTAAAAATTGAACAATTATTTTGAAATTGAACAATAAAGTATTGATGTGCTTCCGTCGCAGGATAAAATTGAAATATACTAGGTCCTGATCCTTGATTTGTTTCTTGGTAAATCAAGCATTAAGCCCCTACAGCTTTTTCTACCTCAGGTTTGCTGCTTTTGCTGTTCTTAGCTTGGTGCTTGTTTTAATCGTCAGCCTACTATTAGGATAGGAGTTTACATTTAGTTGATGTTTTGTAAAACTTTTCACATGTTAACTGCTATATAAAAGAATTTAGCACCGAGTATAAGTTTTACTTAAGACACTTGTATGAGAACCTGATATAATATAAGTTTAGTTTTTTTCGTTTCGATAGGCAGTTTTTGATCCGTTTGACCAATATGTTAGCAACCCCTTTATTTGTTACTTGCACATTTGATTTAGATAAAGAACCCGGCTTTTGTTTGTCCGATTAATTAATATAATTTATACTAAGTATAAATGCAACCTAAGGGCAGCAAAATTCAAATTCAAATCTTTAAAGAACTGTGTATAAAAGCACAATGTTAATTATGCTACAAGTCTGAGAGTGGGATTTTTGGGATTTCCTTTCTGCATGATTCCAAATTTCAGTCACTTTATATCTGCTATCAATCCTTTCAAACAATGCGTCAAAGTTTTAGCATAAAGGCACTACGCCAAAGAATATTTTGCTCCTTATCTTACTCCAAAAGAACATAATTTCCTTGCCTAGGCCTCTCCTTGCACCAATAAAATAGGATGTATACAAGTACTTTGTGTCACCAGCATGTTCAACCTGCATGGGCCTACCAGCCATAGGTAGCCATTAGGAAAACCTATTTATTTGTCTTTTGGATTTGCAAACTTGTTATAGATATTAATTATATCTGAAGGTAGGCCGCAAACTTAAGACGTCATATGTCATTTTGTCAAACCAATAGTGCTTGCTACGAGGAGAAAAGCTTTTTGTTGGATCCTGTAGAAGGATTAAGGGATAAAAATATAAGATTAGGTAATAAGATTAATGTCAAATTAACTTAATACCTCAATTTCTCATTATGCTCAAACGTGTACATATATTTTTTACAAAATATATTCCTAATCATCTTAGGAATCTAATATTAACATAAAAATAATTAAGGACTCCTAACAATAATTCCTAAATATTATCTTTACATATATAATATTATCTCAACATCCCCCCTCAAGATGGAGCATGGAGATTTGTGAATTGTTTCTATTTATCCCCCCTCAACATCCCCCCTCGATACCTTATATTTAACCTAATTTTTGTTTAATGTTTTTTTTAATAGATTTGTGAATTGAAGCACGAGTTTAATTAGCTTGAGGGCTACATATTGATCTCAAGTGGGTAGTTGCTATATTGGTATGACTTATAAACTTTACTTAGCTATATTTCTTTCTATTTATCCATTTAATAAAATTTTATTCATGAAATTGCAACTTGTGTATTGTTTAATTGCAAATAAATACAACAATATATAGAATACTTGCATCATCATATGCCTAGATACCCATTCAAGGCTTTCTCATTAGGAGAAAGTCTTGAATAGTCCCCGGTTGGGACTGTTCTTGAATGTGTACTCTCACTTAGATGGTGAATATATGTTTTCTTTTCGATTTTAAGGAACATCTTGGCTTACCATTTCCTCACTATGTTCTCTGGGTACATATGTGGGTAATTATTTATCTACATCGTGTACTTGGAGAACTAGGGGGAAATGCTGTCGAATTTTCCTTAAAATTGGAAAGTTGACATACATTCACTAGTGAGAATAGACATTCAAGGATGAGTTAGGTTGGAGTGAAAAGGACCCTTTGGAAACATGCATTTTTTCCCTATATGAATGGTATATTCACGTTTTGTACTTGAATTTGATTTACATAAAATATATAGAAATTACACATTATAAATTATATGGTGCTATATATGTTTAGAGACAATTTACTAAATGGAGAAGGATCGTGGTTGGATGTATGGTAGACGCGATACATTGGAATTTTGGAATGGGGTTCAAGAGTTTTGCGAGAAGGCTTTAGCTTATCAATGCAAACTGGGTGGCAAAGGCCTTTATTGTCCTTGTGTTGATTGTAACAATGTATCGCGGGTGCAATTAAAGTCGAAGCATGGGTGGACGGACATCAGTTTTACTTCTTTGTTGACCGCATTAAGTGATATGTTGCCTGATGGGAATGAAATTCCTAAGTCTTACTATTACGCAAAGAAGCTCATGTGTCCCTTTGGTTTGGAGTATAAGAAGATACATGCATGTCCTAATGACTGTATTTTGTATCGAAATGAGTATGAACAACTGCAGGAGTGTCCACGATGCAAGCGGTCGCGGTACAAGCGCATGAGTTGCAATCCTGGCACGGAGGGACCTCCTGCTAAGGTGTTGTGGTATCTTCCCATTATTCCAAGGTTTAAGCGTTTGTTCTCAATACCAAAAGACGCTAAAAACTTGAGGTGGCATGTAGAGGAAAGAAAGAAAAACAGAATGCTGAAGCATCCAGCTGACTCTCCACAGTGGAAGAACATTGATTTGAAGTTTGAGGAATTTGGTAATGAAGTCAGAAATTTAAGGCTTGGGTTGTGCACGGACGGGATGAATCCATTTGGCACTCTTAGTACCCAACACAGCACATGGCTGGTACTTTTAGTGATTTATAATTTGCCTCCTTGGCTGTGCATGAAACGTAAGTATGTAATGCTTTCATTGCTAATAACTGGTCCTAAGCAACCTAGAAACGACATAGATGTTTACCTTGCGCCGCTTATTAACGACTTGAGAAAGATGTGGGACGAAGGGGTTTTCGTTTTCGATGCTCATCAGAACGAGATGTTCACATTGCGTGCAGCCCTTATGTGGACCATGAATAATTTCTCTGCATATGGCAACTTATGTGGGTACAAGGTCAAAGGGAAAAAATCATGCCCCATATGTAT